GGCCGCTGGGCAGGTGACCTTGGCCGGGCGCGGGGCGGGACCCGGTCCCACGCGCCGGGCCGGCCGCGGCTGCAGGGGGGCGCTGGGCAGTGCTGCTCCGGTCCAGAGATCCTGATCGGGTTTTCTCTCCGTCTCCTCCTCAACCTCTCCCTCCCTCCCTCCCTCTGTTTCTTTCTCCCTTTCCCTCTCTTTCCCCTTCCTCTGCTTCCCCCCTTCCCCTCCCCCTCCTCTGCGCCTCTTCCTCTCCCCTCCTCCTCCTCCTCTCTCCCACCCCTCTCCTCTGCCTCCTTTCTCCCTCCTCAGCTCGCCGGGCGACCCTGCTCACTGTCCCCACATTAATGGCGGCATCTTCCGAGGAGGAGATAGACCGGAGACCCATCAGGAGAGTCAGGTCCAAGAGTGACACCCCGTACCTAGCCGAGGCCAGGATCTCCTTCAACCTCGAGGCAGGTAAGAGGCACCCCAGGGCTCCAGCCCTCTCCTCCGCCCAGGATCCGGCGCCGCCGCGGCTCTGGCTCCAGCACTCTGCCTCTTTGTGTCTGCTGGGTGCGGGGTGCTGCTGCTGCTGCTGGAGGCGTGGGGCCAAGCCCTGCCTGGGGCTCCCAGCCCAGCTGCCCCCTCCTCCTCCCTTGCCAGGAGGGACTGGTGCCAGGCAAAAGGCAGTGGGCTGGCGGGGGTGGGCACGAGGGGAGCATTAGCCCTGGTGGTGGTGTATGGCAGCCTTTGGTTTCGAGGGGGAGCAGAAAGCAGTGGTGTCATTTCAAGAGGGGGCAAGAGACAACCCCCAGAAAGAAGTTCCTTCTGGTCTCTCCAGTAACACCGTGGATCCCCAGCTCTCCCCCAAGACGGCTGCCTCCATCCTCTGCATGGATTTCCAGTGGTCCCTCTTCCCGCCCGGCCTCGCACACTCCCACCAAACTCTTCATTCTGGTTTCCCTCCCTCCGGTTCCTCCTTTTTTCTAACTCTTCCATTTCCTCCCATGAGCCCTATACTACAACCAGTGCTGTGCCCTGCCCCCTCAAATCCTGTGTTCTCCCCACCCAGTACCCCAAATTATTCCCTGCCAAAAACTCCCATGTTTATCTTTCTTCTCTCCCCAACAGTCCTTACTTTTATTTGCCTTCCTTTTCTGATAAATGCCTCCCTATATTCCCATGCTCCTGCCATGCTCCTGTCTATTATCCAGTTCCTTTCTCTCAAGTTCCACCTCCCTTTTCACTCTCCCTAACACCTCTTTCCCTGCTTCTTCCATGTTTCCCATCTTGCCTTCTGGGGGGGGGGGCAACAAACCCTCATTATTCCTTTCATTCTCTCAAACTTTTATTCCTCCTTCTTTCCCTCTCCAGTAATCCTGTCTACCTCTCAAAACTTAATTTCCCCCCCTCCCCCTGCATTTCCCACTTTTCATTATATCTTCTCCCTTCGGTCCTTAGTATCCATCTCTCATGGGCCTTCACTCTTCTCTCCTGTTCTCTTTACTTCCTGCTTTTCACCTGACTTGTCTTCTGCCTCATTCTAACCTCTCTGAAAACATTCCCCATGTTCATTGTCTCCAGTCTTTCCTGCTTTTCCCCCAGTTACATCCATCCCTAGAGTGGCCTGTGGTCTGAATCTTACATCCCCTCTTTCCCACAATCACTCTTACTTCCCTTCTCACCATATCACTTCCTGTGCCTCCCAGTGTTACAATGGCACAACAAATAGGCCTGCCTCTCCCAGAACCTCATCCAATCCCTATGGCTCTCCAACTGAGTCCCCAGAGTCTGGAATAGACTCCCCTCAGAAGTGGTGCAAGTGCCTACTCTGAGCACCTTTAAGAAGCACTTGCATGCCTATCTTGTCAGGTTTATTTTATCCCAGCAGACTTCCTGCCCCTTGGGCAGGGAGCTGGACCCGGTGATCTTGCAAGTCCCTTCCAGCCCTAATGTCTATGAAATCTATCAATTCACCTCTCTGCTTCCAAAAACCAACCCCCAACTTTACCATAGGTTTCTCATCTGCCCTTTTGCAGGTCTCCCACAAAACCCTCCAACTTCTCTTCTTCACCTTTCTGCCTCAATGCCCTCCGGGTCTCCCCTACATTTTGACAGTCCTGTCCCAGATCCCCTTTCACATTATACCTCTCCTCAAGGCCCTTTCCCACCTGACCTGCTCCCTTCCTCACTTCCCAGGGCCTGCTCCTAGGGGCACCACTGGCCCCAGAAGAATGGGAAGGAGGAGAAAGCTGCTCTTAGCAGATAACTTGGTTTCTTCTCTACCAGGCCAGCCAACAGAGATGGCTTTAGACAGGAGTTTCAGCAGCAGCCTCCTGCCTGACCCAGCAGTGAATAAAATGACCCAACTGGAAGGATCCTGCAATGCAGTTCCCTTCCCCAGCTGAGCCCCTCAACTCACTGTATCATTGCCAGCCCAAAAAAATGAAGTGAGCATGCCCCAGAGCTCCTGCTCACCATGCTGCAGCCTCCCCTCCTTTCCCTTCAGCAGACTGAAAATTGGAGGTGACAAAGATATGTTTTCTCCTCAAGACTGAAAGTTGGTGGGGGGAGGAGATATATCCCCCTTATCCTCACTAGAATTACACCAGTGGTAACAGGTAATATTAGCTGATTCTATTTATCACTGACTGGTTGGCTGATTATGTTGTATTATGGGTAATTATTCTTTTCCGGTTGTGACTATTTAAAACAAAAATCCAATCAAGCTTTACACAGAATGGGCATGAGTTGCAATGGGATGCCTGGTGGTGTAGATGACAAAAAGAACTGAAAGTGAAAAACAGAGAGGGGGAAGGAGAGGGACACAAGTTGGTATAAATAAAACAGAGGCTATGTATGGTTACATGGTTGCTGAAAGAAAATGCATGTTGGCTTGCATTGTCACAGGTAAATGTTATGTCATGGAGTTATAAATAGATTACCAGTTCAGAGGAAGGTACGTTCAGGTTGCCTACTGCCTCACATCTTTACACACTGAGCCAGACTTGTAGTCTTTACTACAGCAGATCCCAGAGGATTTACTGTTCTCTATATTTCTCCTCCCTGTGATCCATGAAAAAAATGGTAAATGCATTTAGCCTCTTCCTCTTTTTCCCTTTTTAATATATGTGCTGTAAAGCTCCCCTTCTAACTCAATCAGGAATGGGCTGCCTGTAAAAGGAATAATTAAAAGAAACAGTGCTGGTTTGTCAAGAAATATAAACAAAAAAGAGTGTGAGTGGATGGTTTTCATTAATCCATCTGGCACTGGATAGTTTGAGTTTTGAAAAAAAAAATGAAATTGCTTAGCAACCAGTATTAACTTAGTGAGCCAGTGCCAGTGAAATGTGCCAGTGCATTTTTGGGCATTTGGTTTTTCCTTTCTGTTTTCTGAGGAAATGCAAACTGGGTCCCATGCATTTGGGGACTGGTATTACTGATAAATGTTGTTTTTTTTAATTTTTTTTGTTTATTTATTTTGTAATTGGATCATGCTGGATTTAGGGTTTGGCTGGAAAATGTTCATTATGTATTTGTGCAAAAGGTATTTCAAAGGTTATCTACTGATATTTAGGCTGGAAAATGAACCTTCTGTGTAGCTCATTAAAAATTACTTAAAATGCTCCATTTTTTTTAAAGAAGCATTGGGAGAGTAGCTATCTATTGCTGTGTTGCTGACATTTTAGCTTTCATGGAACAGTTACAAGTACAGCGTTAAAGCAAAACCAGAAACACTTAACTTGTACTGGCACCTTAAACTTTATACCTTTTGCTTATGGCAGGTAAAATGTATATGCTTGGGAATCCAGTGCTACTCACTGCAGATAGCTTACTTGATGTTGGGTGGAAGTATTTCATGTGGAAATAGATTCCATATTCTTTGTTTCTCCTCTCTATTCATAGTTATGTACAGTTTCTTTATTGCCACACTCTCAAGTACTACTTTTCTGTTATTTAAAGTTAAACAACTACTGCCCTGAATTTGTACCATTGAGTCTAGGGTCAGAGAGTGTTTCAAAGCAAAGTTGAGCATGGGGCGCTGTTCAGCCTCAGGTGGTGCTGAATGAAGTGTCTGTATGCCAGTGAGAAAACTGGGCCTTTTGCAATAATTTGCTCTTTAGGGTAATGGTGGGTTTATATTGTATTTTTGTATTCTTTAAGTCCATGTGTATGTGCAAGTGTGTAAGTAGAATGTGTCTATGTACGGGAGGTGGAAGTAAGGAAGGAATGTCATTTCCTTTACTCAGTAATGCAGTCAGGACTAAAGTAATGCTTGGGGAACAGGAAATATTCCCTTCCTTACACACCTACCACTTGCCTCCCATTTAATGCATTTTGTGTCTGAAACTCCTGCTGTTCAGCCACTGCTTACAGAGCTGTTTTTCCTTCCAGCTGCTACAAGCCTGGATGCGTTCCTCTTTGATCCAGTCATTGTCTTGTTCCAGGATACCGGCTGGGATAGGTTGTGGCATGCTGCTGAGTTTTTTGTTTGTTTGTTTGTTCTGATTTGATTTAGTTGAACTTTAAATCCATTTTTATTAAAGGATCCATATGCTGATGTTGGCAATGTTACATTTCTATACTTTTAAATTCATTTTAACCACTGGTTAGAAACTAACAGTTTTATTTATCTACTTCAGCTGTAAGTTATAATTATACTGTTACTGCTGTTATCTGTATTGTTGGACTATTGAGAGATTTTGCACACAGAGTCAAGTACAAAATATGGGTATTGCAAAGATTTGTTCTGATTTTGAAAAAAAACAATGTATAAACAATTAACCAAGGCAACCTTTATCTGCTCTTCCATTCAAATTACGTTCATAGTTTATTTTTAAGTTGGATTTCTTGAATAAGTTTTCAATAAAATGTTTATGAGGATTGTTTCCAAATAATGATCAATTATAGTGTTATAATTTTTATGTAGTATGAATTACCCAATGTTGTTCAATTAGAAGACTCCAATATATATTTTATGGAGGCCTTCCTGAATTGACTAAAATAACAAAACTGTCTTCCAAATTAAAGGAGTTAGTCTCCTGACAGATATACACCTGCAAATCCTATTAGTCTGAGTTTTCAAGAGGATAATATTTTCCCAGAAGACTTAAATCTCCTCTTCTGTAAAAATGAATATAGCTGCAGACCATCCTAAAATTATAGGCAGATTTAAAATTCTCTTTTGAATATTTAATATAGTATCAGACCATGTGCAAAGAAATGCTTAATTTGAAAACTATTGCACTGAAAGAATGTTTTGGCTGTACAATATAAGTGTGCTCTTTTTTGATATACATTTTTTTGAAAAAAGGATTAATACCCTAATTTTTTAGGGAAAATAGTTATTTTGAATGCACCTCTTCCTGGATGCTCAATTCTAAAGGGGAGTTAGTTCTCAATACTGACTCTTATAAAAGCAGGCCTGTTTAAGGACTCCATTTGGGCATCTGGAAATCAAGGTGTGTAAAATCACT